GGCAAGGCTCATCAGCTGTTGAAAAAAAATAAAATAAAATAAAAACAAAAACTACTAATACATCTGCAGTGGTGTCATTATAACAATAAATTGGACAGCATAGGAAATTGCAAGACCTTCCATTTTTAACAGCAGCATGTGGCTATTATAATAGAAGCAATGTCATCTGAAGACAAAGACCTTTTCTTTCTTAATGAGAATTTGGAGGTATGACTATTCCTTGAAGTCAGTCAGTCCCCAGAGGTTATGAGTAATCTTTAACTTGATGAATGAGCTGAAAACTTCATAAATAAGGTACTGGACTTTCTTGCAACTTGAGCACATGAGTGTTCAAGCCAATATTAAATTGAAAGATAAAATAAACATGAACTCCTTTGTACCCCCAAGGTGGTGAAGTAGCCCATACCAGTAACATAAGAAAGAACCGTGTCTCTGGCCAACCTCAAGGATACCAAGAGCAAGCCAATCTGGTTGGGTTTCAAGAAGAACAGGAGTGGAATAAAGTTCCTGGAACTGGAAGGTGGTCAAGAGTATAAGGCGATTGGGAAGCTGATCCGCAGGAATCTGGATCTCTCCCCAGGGTTTCAGCACCAATATGAAAGCTCCTCCCTCAGCACTTCTTTCTTTTTCCGTTACCACCCAACCTCTTCACCTCTGTTTATCTTTGTTTCCTTCTCATAGCTTCTGTTTACACTTTGGCTTATACCCATAGCCATTTAGCTTTGGCTCCTACTAACTGCCTCTGACCTTCCTAACTGACATGACCCATAGCAAGAACTAATCGCCTCAGGTAGACTTTGCCAAACTTTCCACAGGGAACCACCTTCTAGTCATCAGCCTATTGTTTGACTGTCCTTGGGTTAGATGCCCATCAATTCCACCTGTCTTGGCTCTAAACCACATCTGGAAAAACCACAGGTTGGAGTGGAGGGAAGAGCAGAACTGGTACACAGCAGGCTGCCTAGGACTCCCCATCAGCAGAGTCAGAGCACACAACCATTTCCTTTAAAGGGGGGTGTGGACCACTGCAAAATCCCATGCCAAGTCTTCATGCTAGGGAACTATGAGAACCTGGAAATTTTATGAAAACAAGGTCCATAAGAATATGGTAGGGTGGGAGTGGCTGGGGAGAGGTCAATGGGGGGAAAAGGAGACTCATGTAATACTTTAAAAAATAAAGAATTTAAATTAAATTTTTAAAAAAAGAATGTGGTAGAGATTCTGCTTAAATAGTAATTCTTACAAGGGCTAAAATTATGGGCTATGAGTAGGATTTCAAACTAAACTCACTCTAATTCTCCATTGCTAAATACAGTTCACTTAGAATTTAGGAAATTAATGAATAAATTCAAAACTTTGCCAAAAGGAAAATACTCCTTAAATTAATAGAATTAAGGGTTCTATGCCTCTCTCTTCTTGCTCCTTCAAGCCACTTAGTGTGCCCAACCCCTTATTCCATGTATTATAGAGTATGTTACGATTACAACAGAATTTAATTTATGCTCCACAAATACCCATGTTATACTCATAGCCCCTAGTCAGACTACAAGTTTAATATATTAAATTTAAAACTATTATGTTAAGAACAGAATGAAAAAATAATTAGTTAGTATGATAATATTGTGATCTTCCAGACATGAGCTGATTGTTGGGCCAGCTTCCATTACAAAACAAGGACTACACTTTGATTTAATGGCTTTCTCTCTGAACACCCAAGGGCACAGTAACAAACACTATGGGATTACTGGGCAAAGATAATAGGAAAGAATCCAAAAAGTTCACACCCTAGGAAGAATTCCAAAACATTTTTTTAACCTTGGATTTAAAATCACAAAGGCTTCAGCTGCTTAAGGAAGGTGAAGATCATAGGCAAAGTGCTTGGCAACAGCTTGGCTGAATATTTACAAGTGGTGGGTTTATTTTGTGACTTTAATTGCTCTCTCAGGAGAATATGGAGACTGCAGCCATGTATAAATACCTTAATTTAATTCTGGCACTAAAAATGGAATTAATTTTTTTCAAACATATTATGGAGAGTAATACAAATTTAGATCTTTTGGGTTTTGTCTGGTCATTTTATATGTTGAAGAACATCTTTAGAGTTTTAAGTATATGTATTCTATCTCACATTATGCTTCCTTCTCCTTGATTTACTTTGCTCAGTAAAATATTTTACTGTACACAGAAGCAAGCTTAGAAGCTCCGTGCAAATCGAACATTATGTTTCTCTTACTAGCTACCCCTGGGGTTCTGAGCTATAATGATTTTTTTTTACTATCCTACTATTTGGCGAGTAAATATATGAGATTATAAATATATTTTCCTATGCTTCTTAATGCATAATGACATATAATTTTTAAAAAGGACTAGAAGGTACACCACTTCTCTAAAATAAGTAAATATAAGATGTGGTATTCTTATCACCATGGCATAAGATGGGTACTTTGTGATATTGTCATACTAGCAATCTTTCATGAGAGCCTTTTATCTCCATTAGAAGTGTCATAGCTATTTAGGTATCACAGGTACTCTGAAACCATCATATTCTAAGGGAGAAGCTCTACCCGCCAAGCAATTACTCATCTTATTTGTATTTAACAACTGTATAAAATACAAGGTGCATCTCTGATGCTACATTAATAATGAATGACAGTAATAAAGTTAGGAGATCAACAACAAATCAATTCAAATGAAGAAAATTATAATAACTGAGAAAGGATAGAGTACTGAAAAGTAAAAGGTGCAATATCAAATCCCATAGCATAGAAACCCACACTTGAAACCTATATGTTCATGTTGACCATTGTGAGAACCTGTGAGAATATGAAAAATCAAGGTGAAGATGAGAGAACTAGAACCAGATCAATGAGGAAACATAGGCTACTTCCTTCTAGAATAAAAGCCTGCACTACAATGTGATATTCCTGAGTCTACATACAAAAGGAATTCACATTTGAAAAAAGCTAAGTGGATTATTCTGATTAGATTAAGAATATGATTACAGGCATCTCTCAGGTTCGTTCCAGACCACTGAAATAGAGAGAATATAGCCTTGCTTAGTGTACTCAGTGATCAAGGTTCAATTCCTGGTGAGGACACATGCCCTGGTTCGATCTCCAGTAGGGGGCATGCAGGAGGCAGCTGATCAATGGTTATCATTGACATTTCTATCTCTCTGTCCCTCTCTCTTCCTTTTTGAAATCAATAAAAATGTATTTTAAAAATAAATAAATAAAGTGAATATGGCAATAAAACAACACATGTGATATTTTTGGTTTCTTGTGAATATAAAAATTATGTTTACACTACACTGTAGTCTATTAAGTGTACAATAACATTGTCTAGAAAAATAATGTACATACCTCAATTAAAAAATATTTCCACCATCTGCGCTGGATGGTAAAATGGTGCCGATTGACTTGCTCAATGTAAGGTTGCCACAAACCTTCAATTTATAAAAAACACAATATCTGCAAAATATAATAGAGCAAAGCACAATAAAATGAGCTATTCTTGAATGTGACATACAAGACAAAGTGAATCTATCCTCTCAGTTCCTAGGAATCTTTTGCAAAGCCAGTAAGAGGTTATATCCTGAGAGCTTTTGTGCAAGAAGCATTTTAAAGTTTGAGGTAGAGAATGGATATGCATTATCATTAAGCTTCTAGAAATGTTTGTACTTTCACAAGCATCAAAGGCATTTGTTTAAAGACACTCTAAGTGACCATTTCTACACATTACTTACTTCTGGGAAGCCTAAGAAACTGTCTCACTACCCAGAGTGAGACACAAAATTGACTTCTATGAATTTTCATGAACATTCAGATGATTTGCAGACAAAACAAGTCTTTCCCACAGGCAATTAAGCACCTCTGGGAATGCCAATGACAGTTTGCATGATTTTGAGCTTGAAGTTCACATCTATTCGTTTTTTTGTTTAGTTCAAAAAATAAGAACTATTCTCCTCCAAGCGTAAAGAGGCTTAAAACAACATTTCAGTGAAATATTAAAACAATTAGGTCATTATGATGCTAGCTAACTGAAACTGACAGATATTTATCTTCCCATACAAAAAAGGAAAAAGTGATGGAAGTTAAAAGAGCAATAGAAAGATGTAAAAATAAATTATTGATGAGTTATCTACCCCTGATTATAGCTTATATAGGTTATAAAATAATCATTGATAAAACCTCTGGTACAGCTATTAAGTATTATAGAAATGAATTGGATAACATACCATTTAACTACTTAATAATGTAGATTTTCCCCACCATCTTCACCTTTACCTCTCTTTCTACATCTGTTTAGGAAGCAACAATTAGTGCTAAATACTTAGTAGAGGATAGGTGGTGGTGCCTGCTTTTTGGTGGTAAATTAAGGTTGGTCAATCAGAGCGAAGCATGCCCTCTAGAGTTATACAGGTCATGTACTATCTAATACAAATTATACAAATTTCAAAATATTTTGTGAAAATTCCAAAAGTAAAATTTACTTCCTTATACATTAAGAATAGAAACTGAGAGAAGAAGAAATTTCTCACTCTATCTAACAAAGCCATCCTAACTAAATGTCTTCTATACTCCGGAAGGTGGTTGTCAGGTTAAGAGCTGATCGGGGAATTCTAGCAATAAAAATGTGGATAATATATAAACTCAAAGGGAATGAAACTATCACATTACTTTACAAATACCAGGTCCTGAGAAATAATTCCTCATTCAAGTTTGAAAAATCAGAAAGAAATAGGTAAAAGGGGACATTTAAAATAAAATAAAAAACCCTCTGTGATAAAATAGAACTTAGCTATTACCTTAAAAAACATGGAGATATCGATCTCTAAATAATAGTTATCCAATAAATAAAAGTTTATATTGTTTGTGTGTTTTTTAAAATCTCATGAAATATAAGAAATCATGGATTCAGTGAACAAGAGAAAGACACGATAAAAATTGAGCTGGCAGAGAAAAATAAAAATTCAAAAAACAGTAAAATATATAATAATTAAAATATGCATTGGAGTATGTAAAGTATAAAATTAAAACTGCATAAAATTTAATCAGTAACAACCTAGAGAAATTCTCTAAGAAAGTGATAGCTACAGTGAAAGAAAATATTCAACCTTTGAATAGTCATCACCACTGAAAAAGAAATCAGAATGGGAACAGAATTGTAAAAGATTTATTAGAGGGAAAAAATAAAAATGCCCTAAAGTAAAAATAATAATAAAGTGTAGGTATTGATAGATTAAAAAAGCTTACCAAATTCTAGGCAAAATTAATATACAATAGGCTAAATTAATTATAAACTAAACAAAATTTTAAATTCCAAAATAAGATTTTATAAAAATTCAAGCAGAAATAGATTTTTTTAAGACAAAGGGAGAATCTTTTTTAAAAATATATTTGTATTGATTTCAGAGAAAAGAAGAGAGAGGGAGAGATAGAAACACCAATGATGAAAGAGAATTACTAATCAGCTGCCTCCTGCATGCCCCATACTGGGGATCAAGCCTGCAACTAGGGCTTGTGCCCTGACGGGGAATTGGACCATGACCTCCTGGTTCATAGGTCAACAGTCAACCACTGAGCGACACCAGCATGACTGCAATTTGAGATGTCTCCTGTCCTTTCATGTTTTTGTGTGTTGTGGGTTTTTTTTGCCTCACTCATTCTCTTCTTCCATCTAGTTCTTCTAGAGCAGTAGTTCTCAACCTTCCTAATGCTGTGACCCTTTAATACAGTTCCTCATGTTGTGGTGACCCCCAACCATAAAATTATTTTCGTTGCTACTTCATAACTGTAATTTTGCTACTGTTATGAATCATCATGTAAATATCTGATATGCAGGATGTATTTTCATTGTTACAAATTACACATAATTAAAGCATAGTGATTAATCACAAAAACAATATGTAATTATATATGTGTTTTCTGATGGTCTTAGGCGACCCCTGTGAAAGGGTTGGTCGACCCCCAAAGGGGTCGTGACCCACAGGTTGAGAACCGCTATTCTAGAGCTAAAATATTATTGGAGGAGAAAGATCGTTCTTTTTCCTTTGAGAGTAGCAGAGAGACTTTTCCCCAGTTAAATAAAAAAATCATAAATGGGATGAAGAGGTGCCCACATGGCAGTACTTTTCAGTTCTCTGCTTTGGGAAGAGAGGTTGTAAACACTGAGGATGTGATAAGGTCAGAAGGAGAACTAGCTATTTCTGTCACTTAGCATACATGACCTTTTAAAATTATTTTTTCATGTGATATCTTATCTCCCCATCCTATATAATAGAAGCCTAATATGCAAAATATGCAAATCGACTGAATGGCGAAACCACCAGTCACTATGACACACATTGACCACCCTGGGGGCAGATGCTCAATGCAAGAGCTGCCCCCTGATGGTCAGTGTGCTCCCACAGGGGGAGCACCGCTCAGCCAGAAGCCAGGCTCACAGCTGGGGAGTGCAGCAGCAGTGGCGGGAGCCTCTCCTGCCTCTGCTGCAGGCGGGCAGTAAGGAGAGAGGGGTCCCAGACTGTGAGAGTCCTGGACTGGGAGAGGGATGTCTGACTGCAGGCCCAGGGATCGGGCTTAAGCTGGCAGGTGGATATCCCCCAAGGGGTCCCAGACTGCGAGAAGGCACAGGACGGTCTGAGGGACCCCCTCGCCCCTGTTCCCCCAGTGCACAAATGTCATGCAATGGGCCTCTATTCTTGATTATAAGCAACTTGAGATCAAGAGCTATGTCTCATTCTTCTTTGGGACCCTATTTCCTTACCCAGTGCATTATAGTGTGGGTCCTACATAAGTATCTGTGAAGATACCAATTATATCAGGCATACCAGTGGGAGAGAGAAAACAAAATGAAACAAAAATCTATCCTAGTTATTTAATTTTAGAAAAAGAAACTGAAAAATCTATAGAGATTATTTAGGGGGAAATTGAATGATAGCATTTAAAAATTCAATAACACACAGGGAGCTGGAAACATTTATGAACACCTCATTGAAAACCCAAGATAAATGCATGTCAAATTTGAAAATGCCCAGGGTGTGTGTGTGTGTGTGTGTGTGTGTGTGTGTGTGTCCATCTCCGGTCAAGGTTAAGGGACTTGTGGAAGCAGATTTTTCCGCTTAAAAGAGTTATCTGAGAATTACTTAATGTGATAGAGAAAGAAAGTAGGGATGGAGGAAAGAATGAAAGTGAGAGAGAGAAAAGGAAAGAAATTAATGTTTCAAGGACTAGAAAGCTGGCTCAGCTAAACAGAGCAGGGAAACTCGGGAAGGATGCCAAGTCAGGTAAGTCAGGTACAAACCTGAAATTAGGCAGATCAAAAAAGAATTGTGTGGAATTTTTGAAGAATGCCTGAAACCATCAGCAGAATTTGTGGATGCTACCTATGGAACTGGTGGGACCACTTAAGAGGTTTACATTTCACCCAAGAGCATGGAGAGGGAGAGGGAAGCAGGGGCAGGAGCAGGTGTGGAGGCCTTGGGAAGGACTGATCTCATCCAGGCTTTGAGTATGCAGTTTGAGAGGGAAACAAGGCAGGGTAAGCAAAAATAGGCCTTTATTTATACCTTAGTCTCCCCCCTCTTATTCATTTTTCCTTGTCCTTGCCTGGCTGTCTTCCACTTTCCTCTCTTACCTCAAAATTCCTATGTACTTCTCTACCATTCTCTCTTT